GCTCCTCGGTCCCCGCCGCGGAATGAATGGTCTGGAGTCAGGACGGCTCTCGGGCAGACCGTCTACCGGAGAACTGCCGGTCCGTTCAGGGAGGTGTTTCTGATGCTGTTTCTCCCTAAAATAGTAGTTTAGTGACTGCTTAACCTTCCTGACATCTTCCTGTGTAATGTAGGGGAAGGTGTCACCATCGTGTCTTCAGGCGAAGAAACCAAAGTACAATCAGGTGAACTTCGGAAGTTCAGGTTAACACCACACGTCAAGAATCCAGCCCGTCGCCTGGTTTTCTTTTCCTTTCGTAGTTTATTTTATTGTTAAGTAAGATATGTGTGCTCATTGTCAAAAAACCCACAGTGCAGACATTCAGAGTAAGAAGTGAACTTCCCCTCTTCACCCTCCCGCCAGTACTCCCAGTGACCCCCAGGGACGGGCAGTGACCACTCTGTGGTGTGCCCGTGGCCCGTCCTGAGTCCTGAGTGTCAAAGATGCATGAAACGTGGCCCAACAATTTGGTTGGAACTGGTGTTCATTGCCTTCGTTTTCAATGAGGTTAAGGTTTTCTCGTTCTTGAATACTTTCTTTGAGACTTAAAAGTTGGGTTGATAAATTCTTTGAAATCATAGAAATAATTACTAACAACTATTTTCTGTGAAAAGGAAAGAACACAAAATGCTGGAACAACTTAAATCAACTGCATTTTTGTAGTACAAGTTTAATTTTTTCATCTGTTTTGAGCAACTCATTTTATAAATAACAGATATCAGATGTTTACTCTGACATGACAACTAAATGCAATAGCCGGTTCCAGTCTGGATTTGGTACTAGACAGGAAAAATGCTAAAAAGGACAGTATTAGGTCAATTGACAAAATTGGACTATTGACGATAGATTAAATTATCATATTAATGTTTAAGTTTCCTGAAGCTGGTAACTGCTGATTTTATAAGAGAATGTCTATATGCTTAGGAAATACAGGTATTTAGGGGTAAAGGAGCATAATGTATGTAACTTAAATAAATACTTAAAAAAATTAAGTCTCTGTATTTAGGGAGAGAGATAAGGCAAATAGGACAATACATTAACAATTAGGGAATCTAGCTAGGTAAAGGTGTACTATTCTTGCAACTTTTCTGTAAACTTGAAGTTATTTTTAAATAACAGTTTAAAGTTGTTATTTACTCAAGAGCTTATTGTCTTAGGTTGATGTCAGAAACAGTCCTTTGCTTCATTTGCATTATTTACTTAGCAGAGCTGCCCTCCTATTGATGTCTGAAGACAGACATCCCTCTTGCAATCCAGGACCGCTGGCTCCTAACTGCTCACCTTCCTGATTGCCCCTAACTGCCTTTGCCTGCCTGCTGGCCTGATCACCCCTACCTTGCCCCCCTGCTGGCCTGATTGCCCCTACCTTGCCCCCCTGCTGGCCTGATTGCCCCTAACCGCCTCTGCCTCAGTCCCTAGCCTAAGCCACAGTCTGGCCTCCCTCAGCCGGAGGCGACCTGGCCGATCAGGGAAGGCATTGCCCCCATCACCCTGCTGCTGCTGCCACTGGTGGCCACCATGGCTGCCTGAGCCTTGGGCCGGCCCTGGGCAGCAGCAGCCACCATCCACGGCTTGCCTGAGTTTCAGGCAGCCGCTGCAGCTTTGTCCGGATGGTCGTCTGTAAGATGTCCACCCTAATTAGCATATTACCCTTTTATTAGTATAGATATTTTTTATTGATTTCAGAGAAGAAGGGAGAGGGAGAGAGAGAAACATTGATGAGACAGAGAATCATTGATTGGCTGCCTTCTGCATGTCCCCTGCTAGGGATCAAGCCCACACTTCAGGCAGCCGCTGCAGCTTTGTCCGGATGGTCGTCCGTAAGATGTCCACCCTAATTAGCACATTACCCTTTTATTAGTATAGATATTTTTTATTGATTTCAGAGAAGAAGGGAGAGGGAGAGAGAGAAACATTGATGAGACAGAGAATCATTGATTGGCTGCCTTCTGCATGTCCCCTGCTAGGGATCAAGCCCACAACCTGGGCATGTGCCCTTGACTTGAATAGAACCTGGGACTCTTCAGTCCACAGGTTGATGCTCTATCCATTGAGCCAAACCAGCTAGGGCTTTGTTTGTTTTTTAAACTGAAGAATTGTGAGCTGTTGCAGTGGTCAAAGCCTAAGAAACAGGTTTGAACCCAAAACCCAAATTTCAGTAATTCCAGGTTTACAGAACCAGAGATTTTTCTAATCTTTCACAGAAAAGACCAGTGATATCTTTGATGAGACAGTTAAAGGCAAATAATGATTTTTAATTTGGGGAGGTGGATTGGCTCCCCCTCAGTTGCCCAGAGAGTCAGTGTCTCAAGGGTCACTGCCCTTGTTCAAGAGACTCCCTTTCCTCTTCCCCCCCATCTTTCCTTTCAGTAAATGAAGCTGTTCATTATTTCCCTCTGCAATATAAACTAGGAATGTCTACTTAGGTACTGTGTCATCTTTAGCCCAACAAGACTTCATTAATTGAGACTTTAAAAATCAAACTATCCAACTTTTAAAATTGGAAAATAAATTTTCTTTTTTTTTTCCCTTTTTTTACCCCCCCCCCCTTTTTATTTTTCCCCACTAGGGAAAGCTGGGGCTGGATGGGACCACTGTCCTCTGATGGAGAGACAGGGACCCAGAGCCGATACAGCACATTCATTTTATACGAAAATAAATTTTCTAATTTAATATGGTAACAAAAGATCTTCAATATTTACTTTTTTTTTTAATATATTTTATTGATTTTTTACAGAGAGGAAGGGAGAGAGATAGAGAGTCAGAAACATCGATGAGAGAGAAACATCAATCAGCTGCCTCCTGCACACTCCCCACTGGGGATGTGCCCGCAACCCAGGTACATGCCCTTGACCGGAATCAAACCTGGGACCCTTCAGTCCGCAGGCCGATGCTCTATCCACTGAGCCAAACCGGTTTCGGCTTCAATATTTACTTTTAAAGTCATATTGCAATATCAAAAAAATGTACATTTCTGGATATATGGATGTATCTAAAAGACATGTATCAATTCATGGAGATGCAAAGTAAAAGGTTTGGAAGGATGTACGAACCCAGTTGGTCACCTATGAGAAGGAAATTGGGAATGACTTTCTTTAAAACTTTTATAACAACCAGCTAGCTACTCAGGTGTGCTTTTGTAATCTCTGGTGTGTTTTTTGTTTTGTTTTTTATTAAAAAGGAAATAAAAAATGGAATAAAGAAAATTAGTATCAGAAAGATCATAATAGTAACATATTATCAAGAAGTATTTAATGTTCCATATGACTAAATCTTGCCATGAAAGTGCCAAATTTTTATTTTCATTTTTTAAAAAATATATTCTTAATGATCTCAAAGAGGGAGAGGGAGATAGAAAAATCAATGATAAGAGAGAATCATTGATCGGCTGCCACCTGCACGCCCCACACTTGGGACCGAGCCTGCAACCTGAGCATGTACCCTGACGGGGAATCAAACTGTGACTTGGTTCATAGGTCGATGCTTAAACATTGAGCCATGCCAGCCTGGCTGAAAGTGCCAATATTTTTACGTTTTGTTAATACATTAAACAAAAATTATTTAGAAATAATTTCATATTGCTCCCGTCTTCTTAAAACTAATATATTAAATATAATTTCCTTAGTGACTTCAGGTCATTTTGAGCATAATCTGGTGAACTGGGCTTAAATACAATCATTTCTTCAGTGGCTCCTTCGTAGTGCCAGCATTTTGCATATGTTGTTCTCTGTACTTTGAAATACCCTTCCCTTTTTCTTGCTTCAGGATTCCTCCTTTGCCCTTGTATGCACATTTGTACATCTCAAACTCTGAAGATGATCTTTGCTTTCCTTGTTAACAATTACATAGTTGCTTCCACATCTAGCCCTTTAAATTCTATTATTTCTTGGGTCACATAAATACTTGTTTTTCTGCCTACCTAAGATCTTAACTCCTGGAAGACAGGGTCTCTTTATGTATTTAGTGTCTTGGATAGTACCTAGAAATGTGTTTAGATGTAAGTAACCAAAGTAAGAGCTTTCTAAACAAATAGAGACATAACCTTACGTCTAAGAAACCATTGGTTGCCTGGCCAGGTAGCTCAGTTGGTTCTGGTGTCTTAGGCACCAAAAGGGTTCCAAGGTCAGGCACTTACGGGAGGCAACAGATTGATGTTTCTTCTCTCTCTCTCTCTCTCTCTCTCTCTCTCTCTCATCAATAAAAACATATCCTTTGGTGAGAATTTTTTTTTTTTTAAAGAAACCATGGAACCAGATTCTTTGTCTTTGCTCTCTGCCTGCCTAAGTGTGGCTTTCATATTCAGGCTTGTAAAATGTGTAACATTTTTTTAGATAAGTTTTAGACAGAAGCCCTCCCTGGAAGGCAGAAAAAAATGGTAAAAGGATTCCTAGCTATATCTTGCCCTTTTATCAGGAACAGGGTAGGTTGTACCTGAAGCCACCCTGTCAGGTTTCTCTTGGGTCTCGTTGGCCACATATGGCATCTAGCATATAGTAAAGTATGCAAGGAATATTTGAAGAATGGCTAAATAGCCCCATGAGGAATGTACAAGGCTCTTGGCTGACATCAATATTTCCCAGACTGCTGTGGTTTTTAATGTAACTGTTTTTCCTGGTCTTTGTTTTTTTTTTCTTCTTTTAAACAGAACATGATTATATTTAATATATAAGTTTGATACAACCAAAACGTGAAACACCAGAATAAAATAATAACAAAAAAACAGGGTATTTCATTTGCAATGTATGAGAAATGCTTAACATCTTTAGTCATAAACAAGCTCTTAAAAACCAGTAACAGAGACACTATAATGCAAGGAAACTTTTTTCTTTTTAAATATTTTTTTCATTGATTTCCGAGAGAAGAAAGGAGAGGAAGAGAGAGATAGAAAAATCAATGATGAGAGAGAAACATCCATCACCTGCCTCCTGCATGGTAGGGGATTGAGCCAACAACCCAGGCATGTGCCCTGATGGGAATGAAAACGTGACCTCCTAGTTCAGGGGTCGATGCTCAACCACTGAACCACACCGGCTGGGCTCTTTGTTGTTTTTTTTTCTCTATCTTGTCGACAGTTGTTCTTTATGTCCGTGTTTCTATCATGTTACCTTATTTTTACACCTAGTTAAGAGCTTTAGGAGGTTTTGACCTTTCTTCTACTTGATTCCGTTCTTTTATTTTGAATTTATGGCCGAGTTGCTGGTAGTTAAAATTGCCAGAAGCTTGAATGCCTCTTATGTACTGTATTACTGCACTATATATATTACTGTACTAAATATTACTGTATCACATAAGTATAATTGTAGAGTTAGCACTTTTTCATTTGGTAAATGTTTACTGAACATATGTTATGCAAGTCCCTGTGTTAGGAGCTGAATAAACAAAGGATTTCTAGCTCAACTATTATTTTTATTGGCTAATTATGAATTGCCACCACGACAAGAGTATTTAAATAGCATTAGTATAGCCCTAACTGGTTTGGCTCAGTGGACAGAGCGTCGGCCTGTGGACTGAAGGGTCCCAGGTTTGATTCCGGTCAAGGGCATGTACCTTGGTTGTGGGCACATTCCCAGTGGGGGCTGTGCAGGAGGCTGATCAATGTTTCTCTCTCATCGATGTTTCTAATTCTCTATCCCTCTCCCTTCCTCTCTGTAAAAAATCAATAAAATATATTTTAAAATAAATAAATAAATAAATAAAATGGCATTAGTATAGCTAATTTACTTACATCTCTGATTTTTTCTCTAGCTTAAATGGGTTAATATTACTAAATTAATCTTAGATTTTAATATGCATTTTATTTCATATTTAAGATGATTTTATTGTTCATGTGGACCAGTGTGATTGTGTAATTGGAAACAGTTTAGAGGATGGGAACTTTCAAAATCTTTTGGATGAACTTTGATTTTCTGTGTGACATATCAAAAAGAGCATACTTGACCCTAGCTAACTCTGTGGACTTTAGCTTCCCTTCTTTGGGTTTTTGTTTCATTTTTGGTTTATGTATGTTTATGCTTTTTATAATGATCCCTACTACTTATATAATAAGAAAAAACAAAGATTACAGAATCCTTGTGATTTCATGATACTGAAACTTGTTTCTGCTTTTATTTTTCAGATTCACGAAATATATTGTGTTACTATGTTTCACTAAATTCTTGAAGGCAGTGGGACTTTTTGAATCATATGATCTCTTAAAAGCAGTTCACATTGTTCAGTTCATTTTTATATTAAAGCTTGGGTGAGTGTGTATGGTTCTTTTTTTCCTTAATGTTTTTTTATTTCTTTGAAAATCCTGTTTTAACTGAGTATATTTAGGAAATTTTATGTGGAATATTTTGAAATAGAATATCTAAGGTTAGCAGTACAAGGAGATTGATTAAAACAATAAATAAATAAAAAGCCCTGGCCAGTGTGGCTTCATTGGTTAAAGCGTTGTCTTGTATACCAAAAGGTTTCCGGTTCAATTTCCAGTTTGGGCACATACCTGGTTTTCAGGTTCGATCCCCAGTCGGAGCACATTGATCTTTCTCTCTTTCTCTCTCTCCCTCCTTCCCTCCCTCCCTCCCTCTCCCCTTTCCCCTCTCTCTAAAATCAATAAGCATATCCCTAGGTGAAAATTTTTTTTACAAAAGGGATTGTTATACTCTAATAGCTTGCCAAAAACATAGACTTTTACCTTCATTTGTGTTAAGGAGGGTTTGGAAAATTTCTGCTTAATTGAAGACAGCTAGATTCTCATTCTGTTTCAGCCACAATCTGTTGCAGTATCTTAATGTCAGCTAGCTTCTGAAAGCTCCCTGTACACCCCTGAGGGAATAAGAGGCAAACAAATAATGTATTAGTTTATGTAGAGATAGACGCCCTAAAAGGGTCTCAGGGGTCCTAGGGATTCCCAGGCCATACCACCAGTATAGCCAATCTTCCAGCAGGCATAGAATGTTACCTGAGACTTGTCTTAGCACAGATGTTTCTTATTTTCTAAGATAAACTATGCTGGGCTATGTTCACTACATGTTTCCTTCACAGTACAGGATCCTTATCCTATATAATAAAAAGCTAATATGCAAATTGACAAAATGGCGGAATGACTAGTTGCTATGATGCGCACTGACCACCAGGGGGCAGACGCTCAATGCAGGAGCTACCCCCTGGTGGTCAGAAGCCCTGAGCTGGGCTCATGGCTGGCGAGCACAGTGGCAGTGGCAGGAGACTCTCCCACTTTCGCGGCAGCACTAAGGATGTCCTGGAGTGGGCCTAAGCCATCAATCGGACATCCCCCGATGGCTCCATACTGCGAGAGGGCACAGGCCGGGCTGAGGGACCGCCCCCGAGTGCACAATTTATACTAGTATAGTATAAATTTAACATTCTGCATATAGTAAGAAATTCTCTCTAAATAAAGATTCTCTGGACCTTGAGATTGATAGTGATCACCCTCTGTGTTAATAAAAATATGTTAAGAACTCCTGGGAGTATAATTTTAGTAATAATTATGGAAAGTGATACTAGATTAGGAAATTTTAAGCAATACTTGTATGCATTTTTATATAACTACTAGAGGCCCGGTGCATGAAATTCGTGCACTTGGCGGGGGGGTCCCTCAGCATGGCCTGCACCCTCTTGCAGTCCGGGAGCCCTCAGGGGATGTCCAACTGCTGGCTTAGGCCCACTGGCCCGTTCCCTGGGGAGCGGGCCTAAGCCGGCAGTCAGACATCCTTAGCGCTGCTGTGGAGGCGGGAGAGGCCATGAGCCCAGCTTCTGGCTGAGCAGCGCTCCCCCTGTGGGAGCGCACTGAGCACCAGGGGGCAGCTCCTGCATTGAGCATATGCCCTCTGGTGGTCAGTGCGCGTCATAGCGACTGGTAGTTCTGCCATTCAGTCAATTTGCATATTGGCCTTTTATTATATAGGATTTTGGGAAAGTGAAAGGTAAGGACATATAATTAGTACTTTATTCATTTCTATTAAGATTTGTTATTACTAAATTTTGGATGAAATTGGGATTATTTTCTTTGGTATTTCAAGTATGAAATAATATCCTTTTCTTTTTTGGCTTTTGAACTGGTTCAGAAGGCAACTGCAAAAAAAGAGTCCCAAAATGTTGCAGTGGCTGCCTTATTGAAATTAGTATTGTCTGGCCACTGTGGCTCACTGGTTGAGCATGAACCAGGAGTCAATTCTGGGTCAGGGCACATGCCTGGGTTTCAGGCTTAATCACCAGTAGCGGGCCTGTAGGAAGCAGCTACTGGTGATTCTCTCTAATCATTGATGTTTTTCTCTCTCCCTCTCTCTGAAATTAAACACACACACACACAGTATTGTTCTTTAGTATAATTTCTTTAGAGGTTAACGTACCTCTAAAGAACTTTCAAGTTCTAGTGTATGTATTTATCTAAAATAAGTGTCTTTACTTAAAACCAAACCTTGAATTTAAGATTGATTAATATATTAATGTTTCAATATTCACAGGACTGCATTTCTTATGGTTTTGTTTCAAAAGCCATTTTCTTCTGGAAAAAGTATTACCAGACACCAGGTGAGTTTTTTGCTGAATCCTTTTCCCTAGCTGCTTCCCAGTAGGCCAGATGACAGTGCTCTTTCCTTGATCAGGGTTACTTAACAAATAATTTAAGTGCAAAGCAGAACATTCCCAAAGTTAGCTTGTCTATTCAGAATTGGAGCGTCAAGAATGAACTATGAAGTTGTAAGATAATGGAATTTTTAAAAATGCAGAAAAGAGTAGAACATTTTTAAAACATGCATATGATTATTTTTTTTAGTGCAGGATCTTTATTCTGAAAGGTTTACAAGTCAGACATGGAGACATGACCCAGAGCCTATTACAAATGTCATTTGACTTAAGTGGAAATAATAATACCTCCCTTCCATAGGAATAAATGAGTTTATACATATAAATTCTTAAAATAGTGCCTAACATATAGAGTATGCAATACATACTATGTCACCCTCGTCATCATTATCATTATTCCCTTTAGGCATCTGAGGTTCAAGATGCATACCAGAAATGTCCTTCATTCTGCATAATCTCATATTACCACCTGTTTTGATAGTAGTTATCCCCTATTACATGTTTGCTTTTGGAAATCTGTGCCATGATTTTTTATTAGAATGGCAAATTTAAGTACCTCTGTTTTAGAGACCAAGGTTGTTTTTAAAAATAGGATTAATATTTTAAACCACATCTTAACTTTTCTTCTCTCTCTTCAAATTATTGAAGCACTTACTATTCCTGATGGAAAAGAATTTAAAGACTAAAATATTAAATGTTCCTAGTACATTAGTGATAAACTAATTGGGAGGGGACGGAAAATTGTACTGTATAGAAAAAGATTTCAAGATCCAACAGACTCCTGGAAACCAGAATACTGTCTTCAAATTCAAATTTAGTTAAAGGATCTTAACATTTTCTATTAAATTTCAAAATATGTAATTAGCCTTTAAAATATTTGTATTACCATTATTATATTTCCCTATGTGTATTAAGATTTTCAGATATTTATGACTGACATTTTTAATGTTTTGTTTCCATTTATAGTGGATCAAAATATTTAAACATGCAGTTGCTGGGTGTATCATTTCACTCTTGTGGTTTTTTGGCCTCACTCTTTGTGGACCACTAAGGTAAATAAAAATATATATTTTGAATGCTTGTTTATATCTCTTCATTTTGAATATTAGTTTTGTTCCATTAGATTTTATGTCAAATATTTGTGTCAAAATACATACAAATGCTTCTATGACTTCTATAGCATTGTGTACAACTCAACAAATATATAGGGCTTGCTTTTCTTTATAGTTTTACCATATATGTACATATTTCTTCTTCTTTTTAATGGTTAACTTTGCAAGTTTTTTACTTGCATGTATTTTTCTGCAGCATACTTTTTCCATTGGGCTGCTATAACCAAGTACCACAGATTGAGTGTCTTATAAACAACACATTTATTTCTCATAGTTCTGGAAGCTGACAAATTCACGATCAAGGTGAGATATATTCAGTATTTGGTAGAAGGAGCAAGGGAGCTCTCTGTGGTCTTTTTTATAAGGGCACTAATCCCATCCATGAGGACTCTACCTTTAGGATACATTAGGGATTGGGTTCAACATATAAATAGGTTGGGGGAGGGCACACAAACATTCAGTCTATAGGACTTTTAAAGTGTACAATTCTGTATTAGTATATTCATGGAATTTCATTCATTCTTACTGCTGTATAATATAGTCCACTAAATGGATATATTCTAATTTACATCATCTATCGTATCAGGTTATTTCCAATATTAGGCTACTGCAAACAATGCTGGTGTCTTTATAAGTGTTCCCAAGTACACAAATACAAGAAATCTGTATGATATAATTCTATGAGTAGTACTGTTGAGTATTTATAGCTTCAGCCTTTCTAAAGTAGATAATGCCAAAATATTTTCCAAAGCCACTATTCCTATTTTTCTCATAATGTTTTATGAATCAAGGGGAAATATTTCTTTTCTTTCACTCTAGTTGAATTAATGCTTTTTTATAAAGATCAGATATATTTCACGAATGATATGTTTTATTCTTGTAGGACTTTGCTGCTATTTGAACACAGTGATATTGTTGTCATCTCCCTACTCAGTGTTTTGTTCACTGGTTCTGGAGGAGGACCAGCAAAGGTAGAATTTTCCATTATTAGCTACTTGAAAATTGAAAGTATACATTTGAAATGTTATCCAAAGCAACAAAATAGTATATTTTAACATTTGAAAGAATGCAGGGGCTTTTTCTATTAATTTTACATTTTTCTTATAACCTTTTTGGCATCATTATATATTCCTAGAAAGTTGCATAAATAGTAGAGCAGTTTTTGTGCCCTTCACTCAGTTTCAGTGGTAACTTCTTACCCAACTCAATTATACTGTCAAAACCAGGAAATTGACATTGGTACAATCCCTAGACCTTATTCAGTTTTCACCAATTTTAAATACACTCATATGTGTGTTTATATGTGTAGATTCAGGTAACTACTGCCACAATCAAGATACAGAACTGATTGATCACCACATCTCCTTTATGCTATACCTGAACCCTTTCCCACCTAGTTTTTAATCCCCAGACATCATTTTTGGAAAATACCTAAGAACTTTGTTTAAAGTTTGATGAACATTTTTTATGAATATTTATACAGCATTTTGCCAACTAGGCATCCCTATTCAACTTATAATTTAAGTATTATTTTTAGTAAATGAGTCATCCATCTGTAATTCCAGTTCTTACAACTGCAATATTGCTATTTACCAAATTAAATGTTTCCTATGCATGGTACACTATTCTGGTTATAGGGGAAAGGAAAAATAAAATATAATAGTCCCCTTAGACTTTCAGGCTAAGTAATGGAGACAAGATGAATAAAATAAAGTAACGTGCCAAGTACAGAGTGAGAGACTGTAGATTCCACATTGGATCATTAATATTAAAGCATATGCCACTGTATAAGCTTCTCCCCTAACTTACAGAGTACTCCAAAATAAATGTCAAGTGAATTGAAGTTTGGTGGAAGATATTTGTAAAAGCATAAAAGCAGTAGGGAAAAATATCACAAAGTCACTTTGTAAGGTATATAAATGTCTAATCACTATGTTGTACACCTGAAACTAATATAATACTTTATGTCAACTGTAATTGAAAAATAAATAATTTTTAAAATCACAAAGGAAAATTCAATACATTTAAATTTAACTTCATAATGATTACAGGCTTTTATATAACAGAAATCATTGTGCAAACAACAAACTAACAGCAGCAAATTGCCATCAAAAAAAGCTTTACACGTCTTTAAAATATAAGTCAGTTAATAAAAATGCTTAAGATCCTCAACAGAAATGAGCAAACAGGGGAAAACAACTCACAAAAGAAATACAAAGGATTCAAAACATTAAAAAACCAAAACACAAATTTTGCTGCACCAATAATCAGAAATTAGAGTATAGATCTTGCATATCCTCTCATTAGTGTCAGTAATGAATCTCCGCATTTATTCAGGATTCAGTGGGTTTTTTCCTTAGTTATGACTAAAGCACTACAAAATTCTCAGTTGCCCTCTTTGTTAATAAAGGATTGGATTAAATTCTCCATATTTGAGTATTGTTGATGTTGCCATATTCTGATTCAATAAAAATTACAAAATTTTAAATTGTGTGGTTTATGTATACTGATTTTTGTCAAAATATCTACCACAGTAATAATTTATCAAGTGTAGTAGTAACATGTAATAAGTAAAATAGGATCTTCACTTTTCATTTTAAATTTTTATTTAATGAAAGTATCTGGTATTATACCTGTAAATTTGTAAATATAGAATGTATAATAATGCTATTTAAATTGCTTTTGTATAAACTGAAGTATTTGTAAAAACTAAGTATGTCCTTTCTATAATTTTCTTCTGTCAAAATCCTTTCCCTGGAATGAGAACATAAAAAGTTTGTCAGCTTTTAAGTACCTTACACCTTTACTAGATATTAAAAATACTTTGCTAGTTTTCTTAATATAGCTTTTTACTTCTTTCCCCTAGAGGAGTGGTACCTAGAATATTGATATTATTATAAATTAACTGTTAAGTCCTTAATAATTATTCTTTACCTACTTGGGCTTTTCAATCAAAAGCAAAGTAACATTTGCAAAGGTTAATTCTGTGAACAATAATTGTTTGTGTATGGTAACATGGCTAGCCATATTAGTAAGTAGACAATTGAAGTTGTCATTATTATGTGTCTTAAGTACCCTTAAAATATCCTGCAGAATTTATTAGAGCTCTTTACTTTTACCTTACTGTTAATACTGTAAATTTATATTGTACAGTATAAGGGCTCTAATGTCAGGTGTTATTTTACCTTAAATGTTTATTTGCAAAAAAATTTTTTCACATTTGTGTAATCATGGTCTTAAAAATCAGTTCTTGAAAAAGCCATTCTTAAGATTATTCTTTTCATTTCCAGACAAGGGGGGCTGCTTTTTTTATTATTGCTGTGATCTGCCTATTGCTTTTCGACAATGATGATCTCATGGCTAAAATGGCTGAACACCGTATCCTTTTGCAACAGATCAGAGTTATTTATTGTTGTAGAAAAATAAAAGACTAGCAGAATGGGAAATGGAATGACTGAATTAAACTATCAGAAATTTAGGGACAGTAAAAGTATTTTACATTGACCTCATGCTAAATAAATAATTTGACACTCAACAAAATCAATCTATTTGCTCCCTTGTAATTTAATAATTTAAATGGTTGTTTTAGAAGTCACTGGCAATTATCTGTATATATAAAAGCCTAAGCAACTGTTCGACCTGTAGCTATAACACATACTGACCACCAGGGGGCAGATGCTCAATGCACAGGCATGGAAACATGGAATAGACTGATGAATCTCAGAGGGATTCGTTGCACCAATGGAGTCCCTCGGCCTGGCCTGCAGGGATCGGGTCGAAACTGGCAGTCCGACATCCCCCAAGAGGTCCCTGATTGCAAGAGGGCGCCAGCCAGGCTGAGGGACCCCACCGGTGCACAGGGCCTCTAGTTAAATATAAATTTCTTTTAGATGAAAAATGTTTGGCATCTTCTTGCCAGAAAAAAAAAGTTCAAGTTTTTAAATTTGATATTCACTCTCGCTCTAAATTATTATCTCTGATTCAGCTCCCAATTTTCTCTTAATGTAAACACAACTTTTGAGTCAAATATGTCTATTCACTTTCCTCTACAGACCTAATTTGTTTTCTTTCTTATCCATACATCTTTTTTTGCCCACTCTATTTATCAGAACTTAGAACACCATTTTTTTATTCTCCTGGTTACAGCTACTCACTGCCCAAAAACTTAGTTGTATCAGTTTACTTTGTTACAATAAAAGAGGGTGCCATGACTTTGAAAAACTCCTGTTGCTTGCAGTACAGCTATCTCACACACCCTTGATATTCACTCTCTTGCTCTCAAGCAACAGGAGTTTGTTTTTTGCTTGCTTTGATGAGGTCTATGTGGTTAATGACTTAGAAACAGATTTAGGACTGATTTTTAAAGTTATCCTAGCCCCACTGGTGTGACTCAGTGGTTGAGTGTCAATCCATGACTATGAAGTCATGGTTCGATTCCTGGTCAGGGCACATGCCTGGGTTGCAAGCTCAATCTCCAGTAGTGGGTGTGCAGGAGATAGCTGATGAATGATTCTCTCTTATCATTGATGTTTCTCTCTCTCTCTCTCCCTCTCCCTTCCTCTCTGAAATCAATAAAAATGTATATAATTAATAAATAAAGTCATTCTAAAAGAGCAAGTCCATTGGATAGGAGTGGTCCAGGGAGGGTCCTTGCTCTTGTCCCTTTGTTCTACTTACAGTATATATGTATATGTCTCCTGGAGGTTAAGAACTAAAATTTAACAGCTATATCTTAGGCACTATTATAGTTGTTTTGGAGATGACAAAAGGAATACAGACCAGCCAACTTATTAGTAATATCCCAGAATTAGTTTTTAAATTATTTTTGTTTTACGGGAAACTATTGAGGGTAGTCAGGTTTGGGGCCTCGGACTAGACTAGTCTATAGTCAACCTAAAATAATGTACCAAAAATTCCAGGAGGACTTCAGGGCAGTGAGTTAATATTTGCAATTTTTTCCTTTACTCCAACTCACTTAGCTGAAGGACATCATGACAGCGCTCTAACTCACATGCTTTACACAGCCATTGCCTTCTTAGGTGTGGCAGATCACAAGGTATGTTCTTTTCTTTGTTGCTAATGTGATCAAAGATTCTGAAAATTTACAACAACTATAACTTTAAAAGTGTTTAAAATAAGTTACCAATAATTTACAGTACTGCCTGCCATTTTAGTAGTTCAGGAATTTGGGATATGGAAAAACTAGTTCATCTCTTCAAATATTATGTATTTAAGGATTGAATATTGGACTGTGTATATTTCTAATGAGAATTATCTAATTTTGCTCTTAGGGCGGAGTATTATTGCTAGTACTGGCTTTGTGTTGTAAAGTTGGCTTTCATACAGCTTCCAGAAAGCTCTCTATAGATGTTGGTGGAGCCAAACGTCTTCAAGCTTTATCCCATCTTGTTTCTGTGCTTCTCTTGTGTCCATGGGTCATTGTTCTTTCTGTGACAACTGAGGTAAGATCAGGAATTTATTGGTAATAAATAAAATGAATTGCTATTACTTATAAATTTTAGTTTGGTACATTGTATTTTATTTCAATTCGAGGTTGCAAGTGGCTTAAATTATCTTTGCTTTTTCTTTGTAGTTTTTGAAAACTTTTTAATTTTATTGTTTATAGAGAAATCAAATCAAGTACCATTATATTTATATACCTTCCCATGCCTATGGCTCAAAGGAATCAGTTGAAACAATTTAATACCCACCATGGGTTAGGCACAAGGATTATGGGTCACCTATTATTTTAATAAGTACTGAACCCAAGTGCTTTTGTTTTTAATACTTTGGGGAATATTGGGGAAATGTGCCAGTATCTTATAGGTCTTTATTTGGGCATTTTACAAATCATATTGAATCACGAGAACGTTTGTTATACATAAAGGGATTAACTTAAACATCTTAAAAGATATGAACTTATACCGTTATAAAATTGACCTCCCCCCCAAATTTTTTTTATTTTATTTCTAGAGTAAAGTCGAGTCTTGGTTTTCTCTCATTATGCCTTTCACAACGGTTATCTTTTTAATCATGATCCTGGATTTCTATGTTGATGCCATTTGTTCAGTCAAAATAGAAGTTAACAAATGTGCCCGCTATGGATCCTTCACCATTTTCGTTAGTGCTCTACTTTTTGGAAATTTTTGGACGCATCCAATAACAGACCAGCTCCGGGCTATGAACAGAGCAGCACACCAGGAGAGCACTGAACACGTCCTGTCTGGAGGAGTGGTAGTGAGCGCTATATTCTTCATTTTGTGTAAGCGTTTTTCTCCTTAGAAAATTTCTTCTTTTGGATTCTGATGATTACATTATTTACTCACTTTGGAAATTTATTCAGTGCTTGCATTTAGTGCTGACAAATACTGTGTTGGGTTTTGGTAGCTTAAACTTTTATAATATTCTTTTTTTCTCTCTCTTTTTAGCTGCTAACATCTTATCATCTCCCTCTAAAAGAGGACAGAAAGGTACCCTAATTGGATATTCTCCTGAAGGAACACCTCTTTATAACTTCATGGGTGATGCTTTTCAGCATAGCTCGCAATCCATTCCTAGGTTTATTAAGGAATCACTAAAACAAATTCTCGAGGAGAATGACTCTAGGCAGATCTTTTACTTCTTGTGTTTGAATCTGGTAAGATTTTAAAATATAAGTGGTATATCTTAAAAGCTTAATCTTTTAATTCTGACAATTCTGGTATAATTTTAGTAATTCCCAAATTTCTGGTAATTACAAATGGGTTAAAATTACATTTTCTTAAGCATTATCTCAATTCATTGAGGTTCTGCTTCCCGGCATATGTCGACAGTTTGGCTCAAATAAACTCACAAAAATTGAAAAAAAAAATTACATTTTCTCTAAGTAGTAGGAAGATTACAGGGTTATATTCAGACTACTTAGGCAAACAGTTTTTGAGGCATTTTAGAAACGGTTTAGTGTAGTGTTTCAAATCAATAAATATAGTAGCTTTTAAAGATGTTATCTATTACTTGTAGGATCTCACTACAGACCAGATGCTAACATGTTAAAGCTTAGTTTATTGCATTCTACAGACCTATAAATAAAACTATAAAACCATCTCCTTTTAAATAATTTATGAGATGGACATATCTGGTTAGCATAGTTTCTTACAATTTATATGACATGCAGTTTTAGTAGAAATACCAGTTAAATAACTATAGGCAGTTATATCTTCAAGTAAAGATTGGGTATAATTAAGGTTATAATGTGGGTTAATTGGGGTAAAATCCTCTTGACTAAATTCTGGTGAGTCTCTCTTGAAACAGTATTTCCCAACACACTCCCCTATTTTTTTTTTTTTTTTTTTTTTTTTTTTTTTTTATATTTTAGCTTTTTACCTTTGTGGAATTATTTTATGGCGTGTTGACCAATAGTCTGGGTCTGATCTCAGATGGATTTCACATGCTCTTTGACTGCTCTGCTTTGGTCATGGGACTTTTTGCTGCCCTAATGAGTAGATGGAAAGCAACTCGGATTTTCTCCTATGGGTAGGTACACTATCAAGGTAATGTAGTACAATGAAAAAGTCTTAAGTGCAAATTCCATCTTAGGGACATGAAATTTTATTATTCTTAATACAAATAACTTTTCAGAGTTTTGTTTTTCTTTAATTTGAACTATGTAAGAGGAAATGAACCAAACATTTAATAAATACTAATTGGCAGTAAGCTCAAGATTGTACTCCCTGGCAAATCCCTCTTATAGGCAAAGAGCAAATACTTAAACATTGAGCTCTTTGCTCAACATGTTTCTTTGAGGCAATGGAATGTACATGATCATTCACATCTTTGCTGTTAGGAGTATTAAAAATGAAGGGGCTATACATTAAATATCCTTTCATTAAATGAATAATTCAGTTCAACAAATATTAGAATCCCCTGTTGGTACAAGGTATTTTGATAAGACCTACTCTAAATAGATTAATAAATTCAGCTCTTATTTTCAATTGTTTATATTTTGAAAGATAAATGAGCCAAAAATACAAATGATTTTGGTATAAAGCAGAATCTATGTGCTGTGACAGAGATACAGAGCACATTAAGGGCTTAAAGGAAAAATAACTTCTTGCTAAGAAATTAGGAAAGGCTTTGTGTAAAAGAGGGAACATTTATATATTGATAAATATATAAAATTTCAACAGATACATGTCCAGAAAGTACCTTGGAACATACTAGTATGATGTTTAAAATCTTGGTAACTTTCTAATATTACTATTTATGTAGTTGAAAATTTGGACTTGTTTTCTCATTTGGAAAGTAATAATGTTATACTTTTAAACTATTTGTCATTTCCTTTTCTAAAAATATATTCTACATTTTTAGGTATGGCCGAATAGAAATTCTCTCTGGCTTTATTAATGGACTTTTTCTAATGGTAATAGCTTTCTTTGTGTTTATGGAGTCAGTGGCTAGATTAATTGATCCTCCGGAACTAGACACACACATGTTAACAGTAAGTCTTTATTTTCCTATTTTAATTACTGCTCATACTCACAGTTTTTTCATGCTAAAGTATAACTATTTGTAATTATTGATCTTAGAAGGTTTTATTTCATTTTTTATTTAAATCAACATAACTTCCTGTTATTTACACTGCTGACTCTTACAAAAAATTTTTCCCCTCAGGCTGTGCTAGAGTTCCAGGAGCCTGGCAGATTCTTAGCAAATTCACCAATCCCTGATAAATACCCTGCCACCCTTCCCTCCACTGCCCTAGGGAAGATCCATATCTTTGGCCCTGCCCTCTGGGCTGCTGAAATACTCTTCTGGGCCCCATCTTTTTTGGAAGGAGCCTTCCCCCCATCCCTTCTCCTCCTCCTTCCACCCAGACGCCTCACTGGTGTTCAGAGGAACGTTTTTTAATTTCCTTTTCTCTTTTTTAAAATTTTTTTCACTTAGAATTAATCCTTTTCTCTCATATTTTAGTAGGCAAAATATTAGATGACTTTCTAAAACATAGAGATCTCTTTCTGACTTATTAAATGTTTTTGTTTGGCCCTGGCTGGTGTTCTCAGTCGTTAGAGTGTCAGGCCCAGAACCCAAGGGTCACGGGTTCGATTCCAGTCAAGGGTACGTACCTGGGTTGCAGGTTCCCTGCCCCAGGTGGGACATGTGTAGGAGGTGGCCAGTTGATGTAGCTCTCTCACATGATGTTTCTCTCTCTCTTTTCTCTCCCCCCCACCCCCACTCCCTTCTATTCTCTCTAAAATCAATGGAAAAAATATCCTCCAGTGAGGATTAACCAAAATAAATAAATAAAATAAAATGCCTTCCAATATTAAAAGCTGATTCAACTTCCTTAAAGAAATAAAAAATAAATGTTTTTGTTTGAAAGTGTGTTTTTAAGTACCTGAAAAAATTTGTTAGAGATAGAATCAGAAAAAAAATTTTTTTTTCCAATATGTTTGTATTGATTTCAGAGAGGCAGGCAGAGGGAGAGATAGAAACATCAATGATGAGAGAGAATCATTGATCGGCTGCTTCCTGCATGCCCACCACTGAGGATCAAGCCCGCAATCGGGCATGTGCCCTGACCAGGAATTGAACTATGACCTCCTGGTTCATAGGTCAGTGCTCAACTATTGAGCCACACTGGTTGGGCAGAAAAATATTAATTTTACTCCATAGATTATAGGAACACTATAGCAACTTTTAATGTTCTACCTATACCTAAAGACTACCTTTATATGTGCTCTTTCTTGTAGTTGGCCTGCCCTTCCCTTACTTCTGACATTCAGACTTCCTTAAGACTTTGCTTATATGTCTCCTCCGGTGGCATACTTTCCCTTAACCCCTCTCTTTTCTCTGGAAAGTTTGTTAGATATCCCTTTCTCAATATTCCCATAGCAGTGTTGAGTTATAACTATTGTTTAATTTGTCATTATTCCACAATTAAGATGTAAGTGAAGTGTTTTCAGGACCTGAATTGTGTATCATTAACTCTTAAATTGTAGCACCTGGCTTGTAGGAACTCAGCAATTAATTGATGAATGACTAAAAACAATTATGAGTCTTGTTGGTAGAAGCATATATTAGTAAAATGTTTTTGGATTACAGTTTGGAAATATATTTTGAATTTTAAGTGCTCATATCCTTTGAGCTTTAATATTTAATACAGAAATATTCACACAAGTGTGTAGAGATGCATGATTCATTATATCATTATTTATAACTAGAGGCCTGATGCACGAAATTCATGCAAGGGCCTTGGCCCCGGCCCCCACCTGCCGCCGCCATGGCCAGGGGCCTCTGCTGCCACTGCCTAAGTCCCTGCCTGCTGTGGCTTTGTCCAGAAGGAAGGACGTCCAGAAGGACGTCTGGTGTGATTAGCATATTACACTTTTATCATTTATACTAATAAAAGGGTAATATGCAAATTAACCATCACTCCACGACAAAGATGGCGGCGCCGGCTGGAGCCACGGAGCCGGCCAGAGCGGGCGGACGCTTGGATTCCTTTGTCGCCCCAGCTACAAAGGAAGCCAAGCCTCCCGCAAGCCCCGGCCGGCCGCCAAGGGCTGGCCTCTGGTTGGCAACCATGGAGCCGGCCAGAGCAGGCGGGATGCGGCTCCAGCCCGGAGCGAAGGCAGGAGATGGCGGCCCGAGCAAAGGCCCGGGTCCCAGGTGCCGGAGGGAAGCCAGTGCCAGCAGCCAGGGGAAGGAAGGCTATCCTTGAACGAATTTTCGTGCATCAGGCCTCTAGTTATTTATAATGGTTGTGGGGGGGGACAATGGCCACTAATGAAAGGACTAGTTAAATGAATTTGTCACTCATAGAATACTATGCAGCTATTAAAAAGAATGAGTTATACCTATAAATACATACTATTGAAATTTACCTAGTAATGTAAACAAGATTTCAGATATAGTGTATACTTACTCTAAGAAGTAGTATTTTCAAACTGTTTATTTAAATAGAAGAAAACTTCAGTATCATTTATTTATTCATAAGTCATGAACCAAGTACATATTCTTAATCACTTAAAATTTGGATTTACTTAATGAATGTAATGAGGTTTTGCTATGAATACCTTCAAAACTATAAACAGAAAACATATAGCTGTATACTAACTCTTAAGCAACAAGCTTATTTTTTAAATTACAAATTTAAAGATTTTCTTCTCTCCCTCTTGCTAGCCAGTCTCAGTTGGAGGACTGATAGTAAACCTTATTGGTATCTGTGCCTTTAGCCATGCCCATAACCATACCCATGGAGCTTCTCAAGGAAGCTGTCACTCATCTGATCACAGCCATTCACACCATATGCACAGCCACAGTGACCATGGGCACGGTCACAGCCATGGATCTGCAGGCGGAGGCATGAATGCTAACATGAGGGGTGAGTCCTTGCCAAATATTGACCTACTTTTCAACCATGTTGTGATTTCACACTGTTCATTTGTATTAAATATTGGGCTCTGGTTCAATTTTATTTTGGAAAAACAATCTGTGGCTAAAAAAATGTTGAAGTAAATAAATGTCAGTTACTGTATAATTATAGAGTTCTTTTCATAGTGACAATTGCATAAATATTATTTCCAGGGGAAATACTGAGTATGCCATTATGAACTCTCACTACAAAAAAAAACAAAACAGATTTTTTTGTACTATAAAAAAAATGAGCTCTAACCAGTTTGGCTCAGTGGATAGAGCATCGGCCTGCAGACTGAAGGGTCCCAGGTTCGATTCCGGTCAAGAGCATGTACCTTGGTTGCAGGCATATCCCCAGTAGAGGGTGTGCAGGAGGCAGCTGATTGATGTTTCTCTCTCATCAATGTTTCTAACTCTCTATCCCACTCCCTTCCTCTCTGTAAAAAATCAATTAAAAAAATAATAATAT